AAGCAATTTCTATCTATTCAACACCAGCAGATTAGATTTTCCCACATGTGAACAGCAGAGCCAGCAGATCCAAATGTGAATGAGACAAAAACATAATTTTACTTCTTTTACACTTCCACTGCTGTTTTACTCTGCTCATTCGCTTTCCCCTCCCCTTCTGTCTTCCTCCCTCTAACACTTATTGAGCACCTGTCAAGCGATGAGCACTACGGTAGGCACTGGGACACGGAAATAAGCATTCAATGTTGAATGAATGAGTGAATGAATGAATCAAGTACTGATTTTTGTGGTGATACGACTGTTCTTACCCTAGCAATGTGTTTTCATTTTCCAGTTTTCTCCATTAGAGAAGGTTAACATTAACGTCCTCATTTTTCCTTTAATTGTGCATCCAGTTAGTCTATGATCCTGAAGAACAACTGTTATTCTTTTACCCTCTTACCATTTGACATATGAAGAGGCTCAAATAGGAAGGGTGGTTAAAAAAACAGCTTCTTTCTTGATCTATGCATTACTTCTAAAGGATTACATATTCCTCTGCTTTACCTACTTCCATGATCCTACAACTAAGATATTTTGGAGAAAGTGGCATAATGTCACTGCATTTATTGAAACTTCAAAGAGTTAATCTTTATTAAATATTATAAGCATAATTGCATGTTATTACCATTACTTGCTTCATTAACTATTTTCCCACTATGCCATAAGGTCTCTAAGGACAACCACCACATCGGTCTTGCTTACCGTTTTATCCTCAGGGGTCTGGGAAACACTAAGGATGTTATCAACAGTGGACAAATGAAAGAAGGAAGGGAAGAAAGAAGGAAGGGAGAAGGGAGCTGTTCTAATATTAGGGAGTGTTCAGTTCCTCTGGTATTCAAAACGCAGTCATAAGGACAGGACTTTTGGAAATACTTCCCTTCTGACTAGGGTTTCACCAACTCCTCCCTGTGCTTATTGAATTGCTGAAAATAATATCAAAAAGTGTTATTTCCTCCTCTGATTCCTCTAGGAGATGAAGACACAAATCTTAGAGTCCACGTGACTTCAGCCAAAGTGGTTCTTCTTGGTTCTTACGCTATTGTTTTGGAGTCAGCCCAGGTATCCGCACTGTACCATGTGCACTGTGTCCTCCACATCTCTCATTCTCCCATCTGACTCGTCTTGCCTGCAGTCTTAGATTCTCAACTCTTTCCCTTGATGCATCTCCCAAAGTACAGATGATTATCCTCATTCTAGTGGAAGAGAGAGGGTGTGGGGATCATCCAAAGAAGTGAGGTGTCCAAACGTGTCTGTTTGGCTTTGTAGATTTTCATATAACATGAATTTGCCCACTGCTCAGAAAACTAAGAATTCTTCTAGAAGTGGCAGTCCAAATTTGGAAACCACAGCTGTTTTTAGCAATTGAGTCATGTATTTCAGGTGCCAAAAATATCACCTATCATATTCTCCAGGGTTCAAAGAAGGAGGAAAGAGGAAAAAAGCAAGGAATAAATTGAGGATAAAGGCAGCATGAAGCTTCTCCAGTTACATAAATTATTATTAAAAATAACTACAATAATTGAAACAACAGTAATCACAGCAGTAAGAACTAGCATTCAATAGCAATTAACCAAATAGCACCTCCCCTCACCTTCCTCAATTTCCTAAGAGTGAAGGAAGATAATATTCTCAGCCTCCTCATTTTATACATAAACAAAATCAGAGAAATTAAGTAATGTCCCAAGGTCATACAACTAAGCCTGAGCTCCAAGCCAAGCCACCAGACTTCAAGTCCTGTATCCTATGTCTTATTCAAATGGCTTCACCACTGATTTATCTAACCAATCCCACATGAAAAGGGGAAATCTGCCCTTTTTCCATCACTGTGGAGCTAAGGGGGAGGAGTGCCATTAGGGGTTCTCTGAATTTCCTGAAGCAGAGAAAAAACAAAGATTTCATTTCTAGCTTTTGAATGAGGGTTCCAGGTATACACTGTACGTATTGAAATGTTACTTGACTCATCTCTGAACTAGTTTTGGGGGCTCACAAAACAGAAGTTTGGCCACTCAGCCCCAGTTTGCACCTTGGACTCTAGTCCCCCCCCGCCTTTCCACTCACAGGGGTCTTCAGGAACAGCCAAAGCAACTTTTCAACTGGAAAAGCTTGGTGACCCTTCTCTGGTGTCCCAGCCCTCATCTCCATGGGGCAGGCCAATACCGAGCACATCCCGGGCTGTGGTGACAGAATCTCATCCTGGAGGCCCTAAGAACTGCGCCCGGGCTGCTGCAGCCCATGCAGGGCTCGTCCTGTTAATCCAATCTCAGGGAATCTGTGATCCAGCAACACGCCCAGCAGATAACCATTTAAGGCAAGATCTGGCGGGAGCTTTGTGAAAGAGAGTTAGAAAAAGAAAACTAGTCAGGGAAATGACTGAAGGACTACTAAATGAAACAGAGGATGGAACTTTGGCAGACAGTATTTTCCAAAAATAACTGCACAAATATGTCTGGTCCCATATGCTCTTCCAGACTCTTGTCACTCCCTCATCAAGAGGAGTTTATTTCCTTTCCCCTCAAATCTCCATCAGTCTTGGCGATTGTCTTGATGAAAAGACTATGGCTGAAGAGAAGCCCTGTGACTTCTGAGGGGAGGTTAGAAAAGGTGATACAGTTCCCACCTAGCTCTCTTGGACATCTGACTTTAGAACCCTGGGAGGGAGCCCAGGCTACATGAAGAGTTCATATGTAGGTATTCCAGTTATCAGTCCCACAAAGGTCTCCTAGTCAACAGGTGACATCAACTAACTGCCAGGTGCACGAGTCAACAAACCTTCTGATGATTCTAGTCACCAGCTGTTGAGTCACCCCAGCCTTTGAGTCTTCCAGTAGAAGCTTCAGACATCCTGGAGCAAAGATAAGCTATCCCCACAGTTCCCTGTGGGAATACCTGACCCATAGAATCTATGGGCATAATAAATGGTTGTTTTAAGCCACTAAGTTTTGGGATAACTTGTTGCACAACAAGATATAACCAGAACAGTACCTGAGGCCTGAGGGGACCCCTGGGTATGTTCTATGTGCAATAACCAGAGGACGGCTCCAGGCCTTCCTGCTAATTCTAGCCATACCTGCGAGGGTATTTCTCTTCAAGGCTCACTGTTTCTCCTGCAGTCACATTTTGCCCTCCCATCCAAGTCCATTGGCCATGTTTTTAAATGCCTGAATCTCAGTCGTGCACAGTGTTTGAACCCTTGTCTTTAAGTTTCTTTGGCCTTGCCTGCACAAATCAGGAGGTAGGCTTAGCTTACTTATTCCAGTGTTGGAACATTCTGTGATTGTTAAGGGAGTATACAGTGGTGGAGGGTAATGCATGGGTAGTGCAGTGAAAGGGGAGAACCTAATTCCAACACCTTTGTCTTACTTCTGACGTAGAACTTTTTGTTCTACTTAAATAATTATACGAGCGCAGTTAGAACTTGCACTCTCAGTGCCACGACACCACTGAGTCATTTCACTTCCAACAACAACTCTTTGATCAGGTCATTAGACTTATTTTCAGAAAAATAAAAAAGTACAGGGACTTGTGTATCTTGTACAGTGTTGTATACAAATGCTTGGAATAGTGCTGGGAACATTAAGCACTAGATAGATAGATAGAGAGAGAGAGAGAGAGAGAGAGAGAGAGAGAGAGAGAAAGGAGAGATCCTCCCTCCTTTTAGAGAGCAAACCTAATATCAGATTAGCATAATGTGCTTAGAAAACTGTAGAGTTCAATAGGCTGACATTCTACTACATTAGGTAATATGTTTTCCATCCTGCTCAAAGTAAGTATTAAACCTTAAAAGTGTGAGTCCCTCCAGGGTAGAGACCATGTCTTACTTATTCCATTTTGAATCCTAGCACCTGGCACTTTGCCGGGTACTTGCTAAGTGCTCAGTAAATATTAAATATTTAAATATTAAAAACTACATGAATGTCAAACAGACCCTGGCAGAGATATTTCAAGTCATTTAGTTCCCTAGGCTTTGCCCCGTAGGAGGCCGTGACAGATCAGGGTGCTGGCCAGAGCACCTAGTCCCCAGAGGGATCAGACATGAATGCAAAGGTCCACCAGTTCTGAGTCTTCCCAGCCTCTCAAACCCTTTGAGAACAAGGGGACTCAAAAGAATATCTGTAATCTGAGTATGGCATTGGCATGAATGCAAAAAAGGGTACAGACTTCCACCTTAGCAATCAATAGTGCTTTTCTATGATTGTTCCAAATAGGCTTTCATTTCACAGCTAATTTTATATAAGCATTTGTCCATTAACTGATTTATTTATCTCATATTAATGGGAGCTTGTCTGTTGCTGCTTTTATGTAGGTTTTCTGCAAATAAATATTAAAAATAGAAATGTCTAACACCCACTACAGACATACTAAACCAGAACACAAGACGTGAGATTGGAAACTTTACGAGTAATCTCTGGTGATTTTGATGGTACTCAAGTTTGAGAACTGTTGACCAAAGGTGTCTTGCTAATAGACCTACATGCAATTAATTGCTTACTATAATATAGCTTTCTCCTGATCTATACAAATGTAAGACGTTACTTGGCTGATTCTAAGACATATAAAAATCATGTAAGTATGGCTCAGAATTGCCAAGGCCACAGGCCAGAATTTCACTGAATGAATGTAATCATTCTTCTTAAACTAACCTAATATAAACCCTTGCAAAAAGAAAATACCACCATAAACTTATCCTTAAGAAACTCACAATTTAGAAGCAAACTATTACAAAATATTTGTTATTAAAACAGAGCTTTTAAACCTGGATATGGCACATTCAAACCCTTCTTAATCAGAAAAACAACAAGCAATCAGCTGGGAGAGGGAGCTGCAGACCATGCGAGTCTGCACTGTACTGGTTTCCTACCCTGGTGCCCACAGTGCTGACATCCAGCTGGGACCTTGGGACCTTTTCCTCGCCTTACCCCCAAACTGACTCCTCTTCTTCCCAGGAGACTTTTACTCACTTTCTGAATTTTCCTAATCTGGTCAGAGAGTGTGTCTAACAGGCGAGTTTTCAGGAAGTCCATCACCTTGACCACTCGGCCATCAATGTAGCAACTGGAATAAAAATAAAATAAGAATCAGATAAAATCTTGAGCAGGAGACTGCATAGACTGCTCTAGCCAGGGGTCTCTGTGGCTTGAGGAAGCCACCCAGGGTTCACTCGGGCTCTTATATCCTAAAAACTTTGACCCTGGGTAGTTTATGAATAAATAATATACTTTTAATTATTTTCATTTCCTCCTCCATTTATGATCTAATATTGTAGGGGTGTGTTTTTTTTTTCTCAACCTTTGTCACATGAAACTGCATTGCTTGCTGTACAGAAATTGACAGGAATCCACAAAACAAATTGGGTAATGGGGAAAAGCTTACTATTTCTCCTCCTAGGGAAAGTAATTTAACACCCCTCCCATAAAATCCCTACCCATACCTTAAAGTAATAAAGGTATGTGAGAGATTTGGAAGAATTCTCAAATATTTTGATAGGTTTCCACAACTTTAAACAAGAAAACAAACCCCAACCACAAAACTCTGATTTAGTGCAGTGAGTGGGTCTCAAAGGTTCATCTCCATCTCACTTCTCTGGGCAAAATATCTTGTAGTCAATCTTCTCCTACCACCTCCAAAGTGAATGAATGAATGGAATGAATGAANATGTAGGGCCTACAGGCCAACCTAAGGGCTTTGGCTCTTCGTTTAAGTCAGAAGAAGGGACATTGAGAATTTTGAGCAGAGGAATAGGATCACTCTAGTTGCTGGTTGAAAATAGGCTGTAGGTGGGAGCAAGGCAATCACGTACGAGGCTATTGCAATAGTCTGGGGAAGACATAAACATTGTTTTGAATTTTGATGGCAGTAGTGGTAATGGTTAAAAGTGTTTGGAATATGGATATATTTTGCTGGTAGGAGTAACGGGATTTACTGATAGATTGCCTGATGGTAATATAGGACAAAGAATTCTGCCTGGGAAAGGAAAAATCCTAGGCTGTGGCTTCTCTTGCTACCGTTTGTTTATGTGACTTTGAGTAAGCCATGTAACTCCATTGGGCCTTACTTACCCCACCTGTGAAAGGAGGTCATTAACTTCTTTCTTGAAGTTAGGGGGCCAAGTCAAATGGTCTCATGAAATGCTTTCAGTTATAAGATCTGTAAATTTGGTTTAGTCTGTGCCTCAAAAATAGCATCCTATTATGGAGTCAATGGAATTGTAATAGGTATGTATGATATCGGGGGTGGGGGAACAGTGGATGGGGGGAGGGTGGTTGTCACTTTGTGAGGGGTGAAAAGGATAACTATTGCATTGTTTTGTACACCTGAAACTAATTTTTAAAAAAAGGCAAAAAAAAAAATACTCCCTAGCATCCTTTACTTACTTTTTTTATATCACTCACTACAGTTTCATGTAGAGAACTTTATCTTCTCTGCTACGTTGCAAATTCCTTGGAGGCTGGAAACTCATCTAATACCCCTACACATCCCCCAGTGTTTATCAACTGATTGAGAATAACCAATCCTCACATAACCCTAGGTGAATTATAGCTCTGTATTCAGTTTGCTAATGGATTTTGCAATTCTTCATCCCCCACTACT